CATCACAGTGAATGTGTAGTTCAAATGATTTGAAATGTATTTCATTATGTCAGGTTACATAACACAGATGCTTGTAATAAATGTTAAAATACTGACTATAATATAATATAATATAATATAATATAATAATACTGAGATGTCTCGGTTCACCCTGTATAATGACATTATTCTATGTATGTATATGTCTGGATGAACCTTATTTCCTCCTTAACAGGTGGACCAGGGTGATTGAAACTTTGCATGACCGTCATCATTCATTCAGCAATTAATAACATTTACATGTTTTTAAAAAGATTATTATAAATTCCGCTTCCCTTCATTTTCATAGATCTAATGTTCAGTATTTCATTACCATGTGCCATTGATGTTAGGCTCTCTGTTTTCATCTCTTTCACATGTCATGTTTAGCATGAGTCACCCATCTGTAAGTATGATGCACATGTTAACACTCCACTCCCCACCCCTTTAAGGAGATCATCCCTTGACCGTGGATGCTATTTTTAGATTGATCTTGAAGTCCTTTTCTGAGCACTTCAAGGATCAAGGATGAATGATCTTAATTAACCCTCAGGGGCAATTTGTTGTACGGTCAGCAGAAACCACAAAAGCATCAAGCCAACAATAAAAACATGATAATTATACCACTAAGAACACACTAAATAAGACGTCCAGAATAAAATAGCACCATTAAAAACAATTATTTATTTAAAAGAATAATAGCAGCTGAGCCAAATGAGACCCGGCCTGCAGGCTAGCAAGCAGCTTGAACTACTTGGATGATGTTGGCTGGGAGTGACTGGGCCTAACCTAACCTTACACAAGAGAGGGAGGTCATTCAGGGTCACACCTTCCAGTCCGTTCTTGGTTTTGAGGTTTAGTGACTTGTACCGCCTGACCAACCAGAATCTAAAAAATGAGAATAAAACAAACTCAGAGATTCTGTCGATATAACAACCACGAAGCTCGCAATAAAAGTACATGTGTTGGTCAGCTTTTCTTTAGACAGCATCCACCTGAAGCTCAAAAGTGGAAAGGTGTTTACTCTGCTGTACAAACGCCATCTCTTTAGTTTCTGATGCATTCGTGTCCAAGAAGGACAGCTTACCCACTCTGTGAAATCCCCCACTGCAGGGTCATCACTACTCGGAAGAGACGCAGTGCCTGTTTTGTCTGCAAACTTAACAAATATGGCCCACCGTGTATTGGATTTGACCTCTTTTGGTAAAGAGCAAGAAAATAAAAACAGGCAAAAGAACTCTAGTGTGTCAAAATAGCAACTCTTGAACTTTAATTTCATTTTTTGGAAGTTGAAAGGATCTAAATCTGGCCACGAGGGCACATGATGAACGATGTCAGTGTGCTGTTAGCAGGGGGCGCACGCCATAGCGGGGCTCATTTTTTTTGCCAAATGTTCATCCTCAAATGACTGAGCACAACAGGAGAACTCAGTACTGAGTGCTTGAATGTTGAAAAGGTATTAGGAGCAATAACCTTTCTAACAGGTCACAGTTAGGGCTGGATCAGGTGAACCTTAGTCATGCTGCTTCCCATGATTACACTGAGCACTTCCTGTCTTTTGCAGCACTAGTTTTGTCCTCTTTAATTTTCACGCTGTCTCTGTGTTCTCTTTTTGTTGTTTCTCATCCCTTTCCCCCTCACCACCCGAGACAATATTAAGTGGCTCCAGACAACCGCTGCTGTGAATTGGCTCTATATCGATAAAATTGAACTGAATTGAAATGAATTGAATTCACTGTGCACAACCCCTTGAAAGTCAATAAACCAGTGTGCATGCTGCTTGCACTCTTGACCTGATGTATCTGAAG